TTCCCCTCAGCATCCTTTAATGCCAGGGAAAAATCTTCCTGACTCCCTGCAGCAAGGAATAAAAAAGTCTTGAGCTTGCCTACTACAACAAATATGTGTTGAGAGGCCCGACAGAAGGTCTGCTTAATTGGTGCTCCAGCTTCAGGGAGCCTGACACTTCCAGAACATTCAAAACAGCACTTCTGACACACAATTAAAGAAGGAAAATAACCAAAACCTTGAGAAAGCCAATCTTGCAAGGAGTTTGTGGAATACAGTAAACAGCTCTGCAAAGTCAATTTACTTCAGTAACAGTTACAAGAAGCAGAAAGGAGTGTGAATTTTATTAATCACTAAATTAGTCCTGAGCTTGTAGCCCTTCTACCCAGGAACAGAAGTAACAGATCTGTCAAAGTTCCAAATGACCGCAGAAAACCTGTTTTGACCTCTCAAGAGCCACATTACATTGTGGAAACCCACTACTTGCAAAATAGTCACTTGAGAAACATATTCCTGTGAGTATTTCATCCTTCTGGCATTCTGTGAAGCCCCCATTTAGAAAAAAATTCTGAACAAAAAAACCTGCACGGTTTTGGAGCAACATTATGACAGTGCCCCAGACAAACAGGAAACATCAACTGTCAGGATTACGGTGTTCAAGTGTTCCAGGCCAGCTTGGACAGGGCTTGAAGCACTCTGGTCCAGTGGAAGGTGTCCCTGCCCATGATGGGGGCTGGAACTGGATGGACTTTAGGGTCCTTCCAACCCAAAGCAGTCTGGGATTCTGTGATTTTATGACTCTATTACTTAAGCCAAGAGATGCACAGACAAAACTTACCATTAGAGGGAAGCTCAGTCTTCAGTTTTGTACTTGCCGCCGATGTAGGGAACGTACTGCAGGATCAGCTTCCAGTCTGTGGCCCAGATCACCCCAACTCCGGCCACCCCACCCCATGTCACAATGGTGGGAGTCCTGAAGAACAGACACACGTGCAGGTGAACAACATTCCTTCTCCACTGTCTGGCAGATGCTCATAGCCAAGGTACCTCAGAATTCATTTCAATTAGGGAAAGAGCTTAGAATCCTGGGATAGGAAGGGACCCACAGGGATCATCCAGTCCAACTCCCTGCCCAGGACACCCCAACAATCCCCCCCTGTCCCTCAGAGCGTTGTCCAAACGCTCCTGGAGCTCTGGCAGCCTTGGGGCCGTGCCCACTGCCCTGGGGAGCCTGGGCAGTGCCCACCACCCTCTGGGGGAAGAACCTTTCCCTGAGATCCATCCCAACCCCCCTGGCACAGCTCCAGCCCTTCCCTGGCTCCTG